TTAATTAATTAATTTGAAAGAAAAGCTACCAACAGCCAGAGACTCATGGCATCTTCGGCCAAAGGCTCAGGACCAGGAACTCCGAGGGTAGCTGTGAGGGACTAACCTCTGTCTTCTTAAACCGTGCCCGGAGGGTCTTCATGATGACCGTCTGGTCTTTCTCCTCTCTCTGGGGAAGGAAAGGGGCAGAAGGCAAAGTCAACAGCAGAGACAAGGGTCTCTGTGCAGCCCCAGCCCCTCCCCGGGCTGTGCTCCAGCTCTTCTCTCTGTGCTGTGCAACCTACCGCAGCTTGCTCGCCCTCCCTGAGTGTCACTTTCCTCAACTGTAAACCAAACAGAAAATTCTTTCTTGACCTAAGAGGGTTGAGATTTAGCATGAAGGCTGTGGATGGCAGACGTTCAGTAGAGGTACTTTGCCAACACCTTCATTCACACAAGCAGATCAAACTGGTTTATAACCTTGAATTTGTGCACTTAGTGCTGACAAGTCCTCCCCTCCCCTCGTTCTGGTGAATTCCTGTTCTTCCCTCATGTCCTGATCATGAAATCCCATGTTAAGATCAACTTTGTCTCTCTCGCCCAGACAGAACTCTGACTTGTGAAATTGGGTCACCTATTTTCCCCGCTGAGTTTGCCTCAGCTTCCTCCTAGATTCCAAGGTGGGAGGAGCCAGGATGGCTCTCTCTTCAGCAAATCACAAGATTCTTGGGAACTGGATCCAGGGCTGAGGGATCACAGCTGGAAAGTCAGAGAGAATGTCCTTCTGGGTAATAATACCTGTTACACCTTGGGGTGCCTTGGTAAGCAATTCAGGACAAAACAATCCACACATCTATTCAGCTATCCATCCACACATCCATCCACCCACCCACACATCCATTCATCCATCCATCCACCCATCCATCCATCATCCATCCACCCAAACACTCATCCATTCATCCATCTATCCATCATCCATCATCCATCCATCCACCATCCACCCATCCATCCACCCACCCACACATCTATACCTACATCCACCTACCCATCCACCCATCCACCCACCCACCCACACATCCATCCATCCATCCATCATCCATCCTATCCATCATCCATCCATCCATCAATCCATCCAGAGGCTGGAGAGATGACTCAAAGTGGTTAAGAGTTCTTGCTGAACTCTCAACTCTGAACTCAGCCCACGCACCCATCCCCCGCAGTCCACCTTCCCACCCTTCCCTCTCCCTGTCCACTCATTAAGGACCTCCATTCTCACCCCCTCCTTGAATGTGTAAAGGTTCAGTCACACCCGCAGTTTGGGTAATGGGTCACCCAAGAGAAGAATCCGCAGGTTACCTGGCAGGAGGGAATCTCAAAGCATGGGAAGGGCGGGGCCCCTGGATTTAGGGGTGTCCCTCCAGGAAGATGTGACTGCAGTGAGTAAGGCCTGGAGGCCAGCGAATTGCTCCTCAACTGCACCGGGGCACAGGCTGGCAAGTAGGACACACGCAAGTCACAGAAGTGTGTGTGTGTGTGTGCACATGTGCATGCATGTGTGCCTGAGTGTGAGTGTGTGTGCATGTGTTTTTATGCATGTGTGCATGCATGTTTTTGTGCATGTGTGTTTGTGCCTGCGATGCTGGTAGCTCCTCCATGGCGCAGAACCCACTCCTGCCTCTCCTTACCGTGGTCTAGGGGACCCTGCACCCCGGACCACTGCACCCTCTCCGCCTACCTCTTGCAGCTCCAGAGCCCCGAGTCCCTTGTCCGCACCACCTCTCTGGTTACCTGCTCCAGCTCTGATACCCGACACTCTAGGCAGCAGGGTGGCAGGGTGACCAGCCCCAAGGGGCTGGGATGAGCAAGGGGAGGAGCCAGGCTGGCCAACCATCTCAGGTGGGAAAATTGAGGAAGGTTCCAGATTCTGGAAGGAGCCCTGTCCCTCGCGGCCTTGGGCCGGCTGCATACTGGGATGCAACTTACAAGCCTCAGATCACCACCCCCCAACTCATTCATTGACCTGGGTCTTGTGCACCCTCCAAATCTTTGCCGTAGCCCGCCCCCTCCGCCTCCGGGAAGCCTTCCTGGGTCTCCCCAGGCCAGGTGGGAAGCCTCCTGGGTCACGTACTGCTCCACACCCTCCGCATTCTCCCCTGTACGCCACGATCATTACCAACATGTTTGGGACCACTAACAGGTCCAATGGTCAGGATGGGGACACTCTCTAAATGGCCTCTAAGGGGTTGCAGAGTGGGAGCATGCCGCTGTTTGCCGTTTCCATTTCTCTCCCTGTCTCTCCATCTCTGAGTATCTTTCTTTAGATTTAGGAACTTGCTCCACCCTGGGGACCCACCAGGCTGCGCTGGCCATCAGGAAACAAAGCCGTACAAGTTCTGGCATGAGGTCCCAGGTTCTCTCTTCCGCCCATAAACCCCAAGTTCCCATTCATATTATCTCGGTTTGCCCATGGCCCAGAGAGGGGCAGACACTGGCTGGAAGTCACACAGCATAGACCTAAACAGCCAGGGTCTCTTGTAGCCCAGGCTCTAGCCTCAAACTCACTGTGTAGCCAAGGATGACCTGAATCTCCTGATCCTCCACCTCCCCAGTGCTAAGCCTGGTTTATGGGATGCTAGAAATGGAACTAGGTCTTTGTGTATGCTAGGCAAGCGCTTTACCAACTGAGTGACAGCTCCAACTCTCGTTTTTCTGGGATTTTTTTCATGTTTTTTTATTGTTTTTTTTTTTTTTGAGACAAGGTCTCACTATGCAGCCCAGGCTGCGCTGGAACTAGAACTGCTCCTGCCTCATCTCCTGTGAGCGGACACCTCAATTTTCCCGCTCCGGTCCCCATTCAGTCCTCAACCAAGCCCCAGGAACCCACCCCAGGCCACCCGGCGATTTTCTGCCAGAACTAAACATGGCGCCGACAGCGTCAGCACAGAGCACATACGTAGATAATAAGGCTCCTCCTTTCCCTGCCTTCCCTTCCCCACTTCCGGCGGAAGTGGCCTCAACAAGGGAAACTTTATTGTTCCAGTGACGGCAGCGGCGACCATGTCCGTGAATTATGCAGCCGGGTTGTCTCCATACGCGCATAAGGGCAAATGCGGGCTGCCCGAGGTGAGGACAGTGGGGTCCGGGATTCCCGGATGACTGCACATGGGGCGGGGCCCGGGGGAGTCGGGGCATTGTGGGAACAGCAAGAAGGACTGAGGCTAGACAATGGGAGGAACTGCCCAGGAAGGAGGGGGCGGGAAGTGACGCGCCTGCGCGTCCGGGGGGGTCGGGGGCGGTGATGAGAGGCTGTATGAGGGCGGTACGGGCGAGGCCTGGCGGGTCGGCCACGGCGGGTCTGACCCGGGGAGCCCCCGGCCCCGAGCCCTGTGCGAACGCAGCTGCAGCCCCTGAGGGCGGTCCCCGGTCCTGTGTGGACTTGGGGACGAAGGTCCCCCATTCTGTCCGGCTGGTCGGGTTGACCACAGGGCCTGATCATACCAGGTTTCATTTGCTTTGTCTTTCTGAGACAGGGTCTCCCTGCAGCCCCAGCTGGCCTGGAACTCACTATGTAGACCAGGTTGGCCCGGAACTGGCTGTGTAGACCAGGCTGGCCTTGAACTTGCTGGCTGGCCCTGTAGTCACTCTGTAGACCAGGCTGGCCTGGAACTCACAGAGGTCCTCCTGCCTCTGCCTCCCGAGTGCAGGGATTAAAGGCGTTCGCCCCCACGCCCTGTCATTCAATATTTATTGAGACTATGAACAAACCTGACTCAATTTAGGCACTAGAGTCATTTAAGTGAGGTGGCTGTGGGTGTCATTGCGAGGTGACATGTGATCCAAAACCTGAAGAGGAAAGAGACGTGGTGGTGCCTGCTGGGACAACATTCTGTAGAGAGGACGGGGCCATGCAAGGCCCCGGGGAAGAGGACCGGGCGTGCAAAGGCCTCTGGGCAGAGGACACTGCTGTGCAAAGGCCCTGGCTGGGCAGAGCCTGCTGCATGTCTGGAAAGGGATCCGGGACTGCCAGAGCAGAGAAGGTGGAGAGGGACAGACCTGTGTGCTGTGTGAGGACTTGGGCTTCAAGACCCGGGAGGAAGGAGGGAGCCTTGCTGGGCCATGGGGAGAGGACTTTATCCGGTCTGTGCCCTGCCCCTGGGCAAGGCGTGGGCAGATTGGTCTGTCTGGGGGGGCGCGTTCTGACCCCTGTGCGGTCTGACCCACCCTTCCCGATAGATCTTCGACCCCCCAGAGGAGCTGGAGAGGAAGGTGCACGAACTGGCGAGGCTGATGTGGCAATCCTCCTGCGTGGTGTTCCACACGGGCGCGGGCATCAGCACAGCCTCAGGGATCCCCGACTTCAGGTCTGTAAGCAAGGAGGGAAACTGAGGCAGGGCCCTCCTGGAGGCTTCTGGGTATTGGAATGGGAATGACAGCAAACACTCCAGGAGCCCACTGGCTAGAACAGAGCAGCTGGATCAAATTAGCTGCAAGGGATGCTGGGAAATGTAGTCTTTGTGTGGATCAGCCTGGTGGCCGATTTCGGATTCTGTTACCTTGAGGAGGACTCACTATTACTCGCTAGAGAGTGAAAACTCGGATGTTAATCTCATTTTGAAACCCCTGGGCTGCCAGCTGAGTGTCTGGCACGGGGAGAACAGACAGATTTATTCTTCTTAAAGAAATATCAAAAATCAAGGCACGCCGGGCGTGGTGGCACACACCTTTAATCCCAGCACTCAGGAGGCAGAGGCAGGCAGATCTCTGTGAGTTCAAGGCCAGCCTGGTCTACATAGTGAGTCCCAGGCCAGCTGGGGCTACAGGGAGACCCTGTCTCAAAAAGACCAAAAACAACAACAACAAAAAAATCAAAGCACATCCCTTTCTTTGATCTACAACCTGCCCTGATGCCCTATGGCCACTTTGCGTATTCCAAACACAAGACACGAAATGGAAGCCCTTCCTGACCCTGTCTTCCTGTCTTCACACTCAGCCAACAGCTCCGGTCCCAAACTTACAGGCTACTGTAAACCCATCCCAAGGGCTGGGGGCCACTGTGACCCCAGCATCACCCACAGCAGAAAGGGAAGGGTTAGTGAACTGGAATATTGGATCTGTTTCTCTCTCTCTCTCTCTCTCCTCACAATCCTCAGAGGCCCACATGGCGTATGGACTATGGAGGAGCGTGGCCTTGCCCCCAAGTTCGATACCACCTTTGAGAATGCCCGGCCCTCGAAGACCCACATGGCGCTGGTGCAGCTGGAGCGCATGGGTTTCCTGCACTTCCTGGTCAGCCAGAACGTGGATGGGCTGCATGTTCGCTCCGGCTTCCCCAGGTGCTGTTCACAGAGTCCTTGACACCCTGTGGGAACACCTGATCATAGGCTTAGTACTGGGGGTCAGCCCAAGGATAAGTACAACCAGGAAGGAGGATTCTAGGCTGTCACTATACCCCTAGCCATAACCCCAGCCCCTCACTGGGGGAATTCTAGGCTGTCTTACCTCTGAGCCACACTCCCAGCTCCACCAACTTGGTGAGCCCACAGACCTTTCTAGCAAGGTAGCATATGTGTTTGTCTGTAGAGGTGAGGGGAACTTTGCTGTAACAATTCCTCACCACTGGGGACTTTGGATCACCTTGCCCTGGGTGCACAGCCTGTGGGTACCAGAATTCAGGGAGGAGAGGTGGATGGATCTTGGGGGCTCACAGTTCAGGAGGGCTTCCTGGAGGAGGAGGCTGAGCAGCAGGCAGGAACCCTCAGAATCCAGAGAGGGTCCCCACCAGCCCTGGTCTTCTGCAGGGACAAACTGGCAGAACTTCATGGCAACATGTTCATAGAAGAATGCACCAAGTGTAAAACGTGAGTGACAGTTGGGTGGAGCCAAGAGGGGTGGGGCTTGTCTAGGCTAAGGATGACTGGGGACACACATTGAGAGGTGTCCTTATGTCCTGGCACTGCCAAGTTGTCCCAAATTAACAGACATTTTTTTTTTTTTTTTTGGCTGCTGGGTCTTTGAACCCAGGGCTGTTAGACAGGACTTCTCAACACCAGCCCAGTTTTTCAGGTTTTTAAAGTTTTTTTTTTTTGTTTTTTTTTTTTTTTTTGGTCTTTTTGAAACAGGGTCTCCCTGTAGCCCCAGCTGGCCTGGATTTGCTATGGAGACCAGGCTGGCCTTGAACTCAGAGATCCGCCTGCCTCTGCCTCCTGAGTGCTGTGATTAAAGTCGTGTGCCACCACGCCCGGCCCAGGTTTTTAAATTTTTAATTAATTAATCAATTAATTTCTGGGGGGACTGCTGAGCCAGCTCTCCAACCTCATCTACCTTATATTTTGAAACAGGATCTCCCACTAAACCTGGAACTTACCTATTTGGGTAGACTCCAGCCAATGAACCAAGGGACCCTCCTGTCTTCACCTTCCTAGTGCTGGGGTCACAGGTCTGCACCACCATGGGTGCTGGAGATTCGAACTCAGGTCCTTATGCTTTCACAGAAGGTGCTGTACCCCCTGAGTCAGCAGTGCAGCCCTGGCTGTTTGACCCAGGCTCTTGGTGTTTACATCAGGATCCTGGGATTATATTTAGATCACCCCCAATACCTTAAAAACAACACATACCCCTAAATTAGAAAATCCATGTTCTTCCTCTTCTTCCACCACAGGCAGTACGTGAGAGATACAGTTGTGGGCACCATGGGCCTCAAGGCCACAGGCCGCCTGTGCATGGTAGCCAAGGCCAGGGGACTTCGAGCCTGCAGGTGAGTGAATGTCCCCACACATCACAGCTCTAGGGAGGTGAGCACCCCCAACTCCTTTCCTTTCCCTTCCCCTCTCTTCTGTAGGGGGGAACTGAGAGACACCATATTGGACTGGGAGGACGCACTGCCTGACCGCGACCTGACACTTGCTGACGAAGCCAGCAGGTCTGACCCCCTTGAGACCTGGAATGTGGAACATGAGGGGACCCCCACAAAGACAACCACAAACTTCCACAATGGCAAGATTCAGGGGCGGGAGAGCAGGGATATCCCCAAAACATGGTACCCTTCTGGGACCACGTGAGTGCTGAGGCGATCTTGGGGTGCAAGATGACTTGGATTTCTATTTGGATTCTTCTTTTCAGTTTGGTTGCTTTGCAGTACTGAGGAGACTACCCAGGAACTGCAGTCTAGACCAGCCCTCGGGCACTGAGCCACGCCCCCAGCCCCTCACTGGGGATTCTAGGCTGTCATTCTACCCTGAGCCACGCCCCCAGCCCCTCACTGGGGATTCTAGGCTGTCACTCTACTCTGAGCCACGCCCACAGCCCCTCACTTGGGAGTCTAGGCTGTCACTCTACCCTGAGCCACGCCCCCAGCCCCTCACTGGGGATTCTAGGCTGTCACTCTACCCTGAGCCACGCCCACAGCCCCTCACTGGGGAGTCTAGGCTGTTACTCTACCCTGAGCCACGCCCCCAGCCCCTCACTGCGGATTCTAGGCTGTCACTCTACCCTGAGCCACGCCCCCAGCCCCTCACTGGGGAGTCTAGGCTGTCACTCTACCCTGAGCCACGTCCTCAGCTGTCTTTTTACTTTTGGAAACAGTCTTGCTAAACCCCAGATGAGCCTCTAATACTGGAGTCCAGACTCACCTGTAATTTTTTTTTTTTTTTTTTTTTTTTTTTTTTTAGACAGGGTCTCCCTGTAGCCCCAGCTGTCCTGAAACTCACTGTGTAGACCAGGCTGGCCTTCAACTCACAGAGATCCGCCTGCCTCTGCCTCCCGAGTGCTGGGATGAAAGGCGGGCACCACCATGCCCAGCAAGGCACTTTTTTTTTAAAGATAGAGTCTCACTCTGTACTCCTGGTTGGCCTGGAAGTCACTATGTAATCCAGGCTGACAGGCTCACAGAAAGTTGCCTGCTTCTGCCTCCAGAGTGCTGAGATTAAAGGCATGTACCACCATGCCCCAAATAACCTGTAATTTTAAAAAATCGTTATTACATTTATTTTCTGTATGTGTGCCGTGTATGCCCAGGTGCATGTGTGCAGGTCAGAGGATAGCTCGTGGGAGTCAGTCCTCTCATTTTCCCTGGTGGATCTGGGGGATGGAACTCAGGCTGTCAGCCTTTGGGGCAAGCCCCTTGACCTGATAAGCCATCTCATCAGGCCTAGGCCTGGAAGTTTCAATCCTCCTCCTTCAGCCTCTGGTGTGGCTAGGATGGCAGGCCTGGGGCTTAGTTCAAACCATGGCAGAGGGGCGGGATCTGCTGGCCTGGATCTCCCCAGTACCTGGTGCCTGCACAAAGTGGGTGGAACCTGGACTGGGCCTGAGCCCTGCTCCCTGCTCCTGGCTCCAGGATCGCGGACCTGTCCATCACCCTGGGCACCTCACTGCAGATCCGCCCCAGTGGGAACCTGCCCCTTGCCACCAAGCGCCGGGGAGGCCGTCTGGTCATTGTCAACCTGCAGCCCACCAAACACGTATGTGCCCACTCTGCCTTGCCCTGTGCCCCTACGGTTGTCCTCTGCCCTGACCCTCCGTGGCTGTCCCACAGGATCGCCATGCTGACCTGCGCATCCATGGCTATGTGGATGAGGTGATGGACAGGCTCATGAAGCTCTTGGAACTGAACATCCCCGCCTGGGACGGACCCTGTGTACTGGAAAAGGCCCTGCCACCCCTGCCTCGCCCACCGGCACCCAAGGCTGAGCCCCCCGCCCATCTCAATGGCTCAGTGCAAGCAGACCCCAAGCTGGAGCCCACCAGCCCCAAACAAGAGAAGCCGGATAGCCCTGTATTCCATAGGTCCCCCAAAAGAGTAAAGGTGGAGGCTGACCTGAGCTGACCCGGGTGCTTGGGGAGGGCGGGGCATTCATAGGAACCAGCAAATCAGTCATTTTATTTGTATTTCCTGGGTCTCAGCCCAAGACCTTGCACATGCCAGGCCCCCAGCCTTCTTTGTTCCCTTTTTATTTTGAGACAGAGACTCACTAAGTTGCACAGGTTAGCCTCAAACTCACTACAGTAGCCCCAGCTGGTCTGGAAGTGAAGATCTTCCTGCCTCAGCCTCTGGAGTCACGGGGGTGGTAGGCCCTGGGCACATCCTTCCTTCCCTATTCCTCTCACTTGTTCCTGTCTTTCTGGGGAATCTCAAAGCACTGGGACTTGGAGTTCAGCTCCTGGTCACACATGCCCTGGTAAGGAGCTATCCTCTGGAGCTGGGGATGCTCATACCTGCTGACCCACTATGGCCCACTTGTGACTCAGGATATCCTCAGAGGTTGGCCACATACTCCCATCATGTCCAGTGGTCCCCAACTACACCCTGTGCTCCCCTAGCCAGCACTCCCCCTGCAGGAGCAACTGGAGCCCAAACTCTCAGGGACCCATCTATAGCATTCCCAAGACACAAGGGTCCTGGAAGTCTTTCATGCAATAAAACTCCTTTCTTATATTTTAATTTTTAAATTTACAGTGGTTATGTGCATGTGGAAGTCAAAAGACAACGTGCAGGAGTCGGTTCTCTCCTTCCCCCATGTGGGTCCTGGGGATCAAACTCAGGTTGTCACGTTTGGTTACAAGTTCCTTTACCCACTGAGCCCTCTCGCCAGAGGGCCCAGGGACTCCTTTCTTGCATCTGAATGTGTTAGAATTCCCAACCAGTCTTGGCTACATGAGACTCTATCTCCAAAAAAGAAGAAATTTGTTTTCCCTATCTTCTTTAATTATCCTACCCCCAAAAGTCCGTGCCCATGGATTAAACCATCTGCAGGACTTTGAATCTCTCTCTCAATGGCTCTTCACCTTGTTTTTTGAGACAGGGTCTCTCACTGAACCTAGAACTCATCAGCAATAGACTAGGCTGTCTGGCAGAGAGCCCCAGTGATCTCTTGTCTCCATCTCCTGGGTGCTGGGATTACAAGCTCACACCACTATGCTTATTTTAACATGGGTGCTTGGATTCGAACTCAGGGCTTCACACTTGCCCAGCAAGTACTTTATGCAGTGATCCATTTCCCCAACTCCTCCTAGTGGCCTCTCTTAAATTATTATATTTTTATTACTATTAGGGTTTTGTTTTTGTTGTTGAAACAGGGTCTCCCTGTAGCCCCAGCTGCCCTGGAGTTCACAATGTAGACCAGGCTGGCCTCAATCTCTGAAAGAGCTGCCTGCCTCTGCCTCCCAAGTGCTGGGATTAAAGGCATGTGCCATCACACCTGGTATATATTTTATTTATTAATTTATTATTTATTTTATGTATATGAGTGCATTGCCTGCATGTGTGTAAGTGCACCTGTGTCATGCAGTGCCTGTGGAAGCCAGAAGAGGGCATTGGATTCCCTGGAACTGGAGTTATGGATGGTTGTTAGCCATCATGTGGGTGCTGGGAATCCAACCTGGGTCCTCTGCAAGAGCTGACTACTGATCCATCTCTCCAGCCCCATTTTTCACGTTTTGAAACAGTCTTGCTAATCCCTTTGAAGACATGAAAGGACTCAAAGCGGACAAATGCAAAGGGTGTCAGAAAGCCTTCAGTTATCGCCCATCCTTTCAGAGAAACAAATCATGTTGGCGGGAAACCCCATGAACGTGTGGGACAACCTTCAGATAGTATGAGGGTAGGCAGTGTGGAAAAACATTCAACTCACCAGTTCCTTGTGAAAGCACATGCGAGGAGGTTTCCTGAGGACCTGTGGGGGACAGCTTCCTCCTGCCATGTGTTTTTACAAATGTACATGCAAAGCCAGGCATGATGGCACACGCCTTTGATCCCAGCACTCTGGAGTCAGAGGCAGGCAGATCTCTGTGAGTTCAAGGCCAGCTGGAGCTCTCAAAAAGAAAAAGGAAGTACATGCAGAGACACTGTAGATAGACGTCATACATGTGGACAGTGTGGGAAAACCTTCAGCTGACCTGACCCTTACAGTAGAGAAACCAGGGCTGGAGAAATGGCTCAGAGGTTAAGAGCACTGGCTGCTCTTGCAGAGGACCTGGGTTCTATTCCCAGCACCCATATGGTGACTAACAATCATCCATACTCCAGTTCCAGGGGAATTTGATGCTCTCTTCTGACCTCTGAAGGCATTGCACAACAAGGGTACACTGACACACGTGCAAGCAATACACTCATACATATAAAATAAAAGTAATAAAATATTTTTGGTCTATATAGTAAGTTCCAGGCCAGGTGGGGCTACAGGGAAACCATGTCTCAAAAAGACAATAAAATATCTTTAAACTATTTTTAAAAGTAATAAAATGTTTTTAAAAGTAGAGAAAATATAAATTTAAGGAATGTGGGAAATGTCAAATGACCATCTTACTGATCCACATTAAGAGTGCACACTGAAGCCAGGCATGGTGGCTCACACCTTTGATCCCAGCACTAGGAGGCAGAGGCAGGCGGATCTCTGTGAGTTCAAGGCCAGCTGGGGCTACAGCTAAATATAGCTTCTGGCTGATCCACCCACCCATTCAGTGAGGGGCTGGGGTCAGGGGTCAGCGCTTGCCTGACTTGTATTAGGGTTGGTTCCATCCCCAGCGCTGTAGGAAAGTAAAAATGCAGCTGGTGAAGCTCTTGAGTAGCTTTAGCGTGTCTGTGACCTTGCGGTCCCCGAAGTCATATTCATTTTGGGGGAACTAGTTTCCCCACTTTGCTCAGCCTCCATGTGCATTTTATTCTAATAATATGTAAATCACCCTACTGCTTGTTTGTCAATGCAGCGAATGGAAACTAACTCTATAATGTGATTAATTACAGTCATTGGTAAGAGCAGTACTATGTGGAAAGTAGGTCATGAAGTATATTCTTATGATTTGTGGGGAAGGGTGTAAAATCAGTGAGTTGAGAAAATAAGTGCAAAAAGTAGTGAATTCTGGGCTGGAGAGTTGGCTCAGTGATTAAGAACACTGACTGTGCTTGCAGAAGAGCCGGGTTTGAATACCAGCACCCACATGGCAGCTAACAACTATCTGTAACTTCGGTTTCAGGGGCTCCAAAGGCCTCTTCTGTCCTCTGTGGGCATTGCACGACATGGGTGCACTTAACTACATGCAGGCAATACATGCATACACATAAAATAAAAATAATAAAATTTAAAAAAAAGATTTAAACATTCCATTGGAGGTCTGGCAAGGTTTCTCAGCACATAGGTTGAACTTGAGTGTCAGTACACACCTGTGTGGTCTGGTTGCCATACTCCAGACTTGGAGCTTCATAGAATGCAAACTCCGACATGCTTAGTCCCTTCTCTAGATTTCATTTGTTTGTTTGAGACAGGGTCTTCCTGTAGCTCCAGCTAGCCTGGAACTTGCTATGTACTGCAGGCTGGCCTTGAACTCACAGAGATTTGCCTCCTAAGTGCTAGGGTTAAAGACTGCAGCATCACGCTAGGCTCTGTCTTGGTTGCTTTAACTGATGTGGGATGCCGACTGTGGGTGACATCATTCCTAGGCAGGGCGTCCTGAAGTGTGTCAGCATGGAGTGCAGTAACCTGTGCTCAGTGAGTGAGTGCAGTCATTGTTCTCTGCTGCTGCTTGTGGATGTGGCCAGCTGCTTAAAGCTCCTGTCGTGACTCCCTCACACATGCCCTGCAACCTGGGACTGGGAGCCAAAGAAATCTTTCTCTGAAAAGTTGCTTTTTGTTAGAGCATTTTATCACAGCAACAGAGATAAAGACAATGACCGGAGATTTATGTTTGGATCACTGCAAAGCACAATAGACCCTGAGGGCTTTGGTTTGTGTTTGTTGTTGTTTTTTAATTTATACTTTTTATTTTATCTGTATGCATGTATTGCCTGCATGTAGGTAAGTGCACCCGTGTCCTGCAATGCCAGCAGAGGACAGAAGAGGCTGTCAGATCCCCAGGAACTGGAGTTACGGACAGTTGTTAGCTGCCATGTGGGTGCTGGGATTCGAACCCGGGTCTTCTGCAAGAACAGCCAGTTCTCCAGCCCCTCTGAGCCATCTCTCCAGCCCCCTGTTGTTGTTTTTGAGACAAGGTCTCATGTTGTCCAAGCTGGCCTTGACTGCATAAGGGGTTTGAGGCCAGACTGGGTGAAAAAAAAAAAATCAGGGTTGGGGAGAGGGCTCTGGGTGTAAAGTCCCCAGCACCCACATTAAGGCTGGGTGTAGCGGTCCATACCTGTAACCCTAGCATTGATGCGGAAGGAGACAAGAGGATTCTGGGGGGCTCACTGGCCAGTGGGCATAGCTGAAACTCAGAGCCTCAGGTTCAGGGAGATCCTGACTCAAAAAATAAGGAGGCGGGGCTGGTGAGGTGGCTCAGTGGGTTAGAAGGCTTGCTACACAAACATGAGGACAAGAGTTTGAATCCCCAGCACACACAGATGTGGTCACATGGAAGACTCCAATGCTGGGGTGGAAAGAGATAGGAGGATTGCTGGGGTTTGCTGGCTGTCAATTCAGCTGTAGGTGCAGAGAGTGGCAGAGGGGTCGTACAGTCAGCAAGTAGAGCACTGGCTGCTCCCGCTGAGGACCCGGATTCGGTTCCCAGTACCCACATGGCAGCTAACAACCGTCTGTAGCTCCAGTTCCAGGGGATCTGACAGCCTCTTCTGGCCTCCAAGGGCATTGCCCATATGTGGTACACTTACATACATGCAGGAAAACACTCGTACACATAAGATAAAAATAAATAAGAGACAATAAAACAGAAAAAGACACCTGATGTCCTCCTCTGGCTGCCACATGTGCACACACACACACATGTACACACACATATGCACACACACATGCACATACATATGTACACAGGCACAAATAAGGCCGAGAATGATAAGAAAGATCATGTAGATTTCTGGCCTTCATATGAGCACACATGTACATACATGCATATGTGTACACACACGCATACACTCCTACTTTGCATACCAAAATAAACACAATGTGGTTAAGATACTATAAAACAAGATTTTTATTAGGTAGTTTTATCAGATACATAAAAAGAAATTAAAACACTAGCAATGCCCAATAAGACAGGTCATGCCAGGGCTGAGCTGGGGCTGGGGCTCAGTGGTAAAGCACTTGTCTAGTGTATGTGACTAGCCGTCAGTGGGATCCTCAACAGTGACAAGAACGGATAAAAAGGAAAGTGAAGGCGATGTCATGCTCACCTTTGATAAGGGAGCAGGAGAGCCCGCCCGGCAGTTAAGAGCACTGGCTGCTCTTGCAGAGGACCTGGATTCTGTTCCCAGCAACCACACAGCAGCTAACTGTCTGTAACTCCAGTTCTAGGGGGCCTAACGCCATCTTCTGGTCTCTGTGGGCATTGCACGCACATGGTGCACTTACATGCAGGCAAAACACTCATGCACATAAAATAAAAATGACTAAAAAAAAAACCCACTTTTTAAAAACTGAGAAGGCTAGGTGTGCTAGTGCACACGTGAAATACTGGGATTCAGGAGACAGAGGCAGGAGGATCTCCAGTTTGAAGCTCTCCTGGCCTAAATAGTGAGATCTTGTCTCAAAAATTACTTCAAGGGTTTCTGTCCTCTGAGGTTTCATGTATAAAATAAGTCAAGTATCAGGTTGGGTGGGATGGTGTACACCTTTAATCCCAACACTCGTGAGGGAGAGGTAGGTGGATCTCTGTGAGATTGAGGCTAGCCTGGTCTACATAGCATGTTCCAGGTCACAGCTGGGGCTACAGGAAAAACACAACAAAACAAAACAATCCTCACAGATCCGCCTGCCTCTTCTTCCCACGTGCTAGTGCTAGACTTAAAGGCAGGTACTGTGATTCCTGGCTCCAAGGTCTTCTTATAGGCCCTCTCTGGCATGTATTTTCACATGTCCTCGAAGGGACGAATGGCACTTGAAGGGTTTCCCACATAGCTTGCATTCATAAGGCCGCTCTCCGGTGTGTGCCCTCACATGTATACGGAGGGACGAGGCACAGCGGTAGGCTTTTCCACATCTGCTGCACTCGTACTGTTTCCCATCCTTGTGTGATTTCATGTGCTTCTGAAAATACTGAGGGTGGCTGAAGGCTTTCCCACACAGCTCACACAGGTGCGGTTTCTCTCCGCTGTGGGTCCTGACATGTTCTCGAAGGGAAGACTGACAGCCAAAGCTTTTCCCACACTGTGTACATTCAAAAGGTCTTTCCCCAGTGTGTGTCCTCACGTGGATACAAAGGGATGCAAAGAAGCCATAGGCCCTGCCGCACTGCGCACACTTATACGGTCTCTCGCCGCTGTGCGTCTTCAGGTGCCTTTGGAAGTAGATGCGGCAGCTGAAGGTCTTCCCACACTGCTCACACAGTCGAGACTCCTCCCCATTGTGGGTCCTCGAGTGCGTTCTCAGGGATGAGGGATACCTGAAAGCTTTGCCACACTCCTTGCAGGCATAGGGCTTCTGTCCACTGTGTGACCTCCCATGTTCTCTAAGAGACGAGTAACAGCCGAAGGCTTTCCCACAGTGTTGGCACTCATATGGCTTCTCTCCAGTGTGCATCCGGACGTGATCACGGAAAGAAGAGTAACAGCCAAAGGCTTTCCCACAGCGCTCGCACTCGTACAGTCTGTGGCCGCTATGCGTCCTCACGTGGTCTCGGAAGTAGGAGTGGGAGCGGAAGGCTTTCCCACACTCCTTACATTTGTAGGGTTTCTCTCCAGTGTGGGTTCTCCTGTGTCGTTTGAGGTAGGAGCAGAAGCTGAAGGTTTTCCCACAGATGTCACACACATGGCTTTTCTCTCCTCTGTGACCTTTCATGTGTCCCTTAAAAGAGGATGAGCAAGAGAAAACTTGCCCACATTTCTTACATTCCAGAGACCTTTTAGGACTAGGACTTTGCATGCTTTCCACGGACACTTTCTCAGACTTTTTACGCAGGTTAGGTCCTTCCACAATGACAGTTTTGCGAGGGTATAGGCATGAGACACAACAGCAGGCTTGTCCACACTCCTCACAGGGATGTGGCCTGTGTCCAGGCCGAGGCCCTTGTTGGTTCTCAGAAGCTTTCCCACAGGTAGCGCACTCCCTGGCTTCGCCTCCAGTGGGAACACTGCTGCACACAGTAGGCCTCTCTGTCTGGCCCGAACCTCCTTCATCTTGAGGTCCTTCATTTCCTTCACAGAGCCTGTCCCCCAAAGGGCCACTATTCCAAACAGAAAGTACAGAATTCATGTGTCATTAATGATTATAAATGACTTAGTTCTTCACAGCTTTGTTTTGAGGAAGTGTCTTGCTAATGTAGCTCAGGCTAGCCTCCAAGTCTCGATCCTCCCACCTCAACCTACTGAGTGCTTTGACTGCATGTGTGTGCTATATCACAATGTATTAATGATTTATTGGTGGTTTGACTAGATACATTTTCAGCATGGTCTGCTGTTTTTTTTCTAAATTTATTTACATTGTATGTGTTTGTGCACATGCATGCTCAGGAGCACCTAGGTGTCATGGTGTGCATGTGCAGATCAGAGGACAACTCTGAGGAGTCAGTTCTCTCCTTCCTTTTTTTTTTTTTTTTTTGTCTTTTTGAGACAGGGTCTCTCTGTAGCCCCAGCTGTCCTGGAACTCATTATGTAGACCAGGTTGGCCTCAAACTCACAGAGATCTGCCTGCCTCTGCCTCCCGAGTACTGGGACTAAAGGTGTGAACCACCAAGCCTGGCTTATTATTATCTTTTATGTGTATGAGTGTTATATCTACATGTAGGTAAGTGCACCCGTGTCCTTCAATGCCTGCAGAGGACAGAAGAAGCTGTGGGATCTCCTGGAACTGGAGTTATGGACAGTTATTAGCTGCCATGTGGGTGCTGAGATTCGAACCCAGGTCTTCTGCAAGAACAGTGTTCTAACTGCTGAGCCCCAGTATATTGTATTTTTTTTTAAAAATTATATATATATATATATACACACACATATATGGACAGGGAGGGATCTCCCTGTAACCCCAGCTGTCCTAGAACTCACTATGTAGACCAGGCTGGCCTTAAACTTACATAGATCTGCCTGCCTCTGCCTCCCAAGTGCTGGGATTAAAGGTGTGCACTACCACACCTGGCTATATTTAAAAAATTCTATGTGTATAGGTGTTTTACCTGCATGTAAGTGCAACACGTGCAAACAGTAGCTGCAGGGGCCACAAGAGAGTCCGGGAATGAGTACAGGTGGCTGTTAACCACCATGTGGTGCTGGGAACCAAACCCAAGTTCTCTGCAGGAGCAGCCAGTGCTCTTAATGGCTGAGCTGTGTTTCCAGCACCCTTGTTTGTTTTGTTTTCAGACAGGGTCTCACAATGTAGCTTTGTCTATTCTGGAACTCGCTATGTCGACCAGGCTGGTCTTAAATTCACAGAGATCCACCTGTCTCTGTCTCCCCAGCCCTGGGTTATAAGCGCCTGCTACCATGCCAGCTTATTGTAACAACCTCCTGCCACCATGCCAGCTTGTTACATGGGCGTTATGGATTGGAACTCAGGTCTTCATGCCTGGGCAGTGAGCACCCTGAAGACTGAGCTATCTCTCTGTCCAGAAATCGGCTCACCTCAGAGGCATCTCCTGATCCTGCTGCCCATGTCCAGAGCCAGCGCCTTCACAGGTTTTTCTGAGGACGGACCAGGAACGGTTTCTGTTGAGTGTGATGATTTTATCATTGTTGGGAATCTCATGCTCCACATGATGCTGCTGGGGGCTGGGTCCTCCCACATCATCTTGACTGTGGCCATCTGAAACGATCAATTACAATGCCATTTCTTTTCTTTTTTACAATTTAGTTTTAATTATTTATGTTTATTTTATGTATATGAGTGTATCGCCTGATGTGTGTAAGTGCAACGGTGCTGTGCAATTCCCTTGGAGGTCAGAAGAGGGCATTGGAACCCCTGGAACTGGAGTTTCAGACAGTTGTGAGCCACCGTGTGGGCGCTGTGAACTGAACCTGGATCCTCTGCAAGAAATGCCAGTGCTCTTAACTGCAGAGCCAGTTCCCCAGACCTCCATATTCCAATTTTTGAGCCCCAATAAGCAAAGATAAGTTGTCTTTGTCTCTAGGGGACACAGTAAAGGAAGGCAGGAAGTCTTACCCAGCGAGGCCAGGTTACTGCTCGATGCCACCATTACATCTCTGTGGATGTCCCTTTGCGCTGGGTCCAGCAAAGCCTCCTCTTCTGGACTGAATTTCACAGCCACTTCCTTCAACACCACCGAGTCCTAGAATGTCCCACATATTCATGTCAATAAGACATCCTCTCCCAACCTGCAAAACCCATCAGCCAGGCATAGTGGGAGAGATACACCCATAACCCCACTGTAACCCTAGCAGCTGAGAAGCTGAAGCAGTAGGACTGTTAGTTATAAGTCAGCCTGGGTAAATTAGAGGGACTCTGCTCCAAAAAAGCAAAAAGAGGGCTGGGGGCGTGGCTCAGGTAGAGTGACAGCCTAGAATCCCCAGTGAGGGGCTGGGGGCGTGGCTCAGGTAGAGTGACAGCCTAGAATCCCCAGTGAGGGGCTGGGGGCGTGGCTCAGGGTAGAGTGACAGCCTAGAATCCCCAGTGAGGGGTTGGGAGTGTGGCTCAGGTAGAGTGACAGCCTGGACTCCCCAGGGAGGGGCTAGGGGCGTGGCTCAGGGTAGAGTGGCAGCCTAGAATCCCAAGTGAGGGACTGGGGGCGAGGCGCAGGAGTGACCCTGTATCTGCTGGTAATGTGACATTTTGCAGTCCTGTACTGACTGCCAGTGTTCCCCACCCTCGCGTGCTGTGGAGGGGACATCCTGCAAGGAGATGGGCAGCAGCTGTCGGGTGTGGACCCAGCTCCAGGTCATTCCAGCCCCTTCTGTGTAAGTCTGGACCCTTAGCCCTGGAGCTCAACGGGACTACTGTTCATGGGTCCAACTGCACTGTGGGCTTTGGTCCTTCCTGCCTTCACTTGACCCCCGAGCCTCCTCCTTAGAACATTCTGGTGTCAGGTCAGTGTGGCTGCACCCCCACGGCCCCGGGTCACCTCACTTCCCCACCCCTGGCCTTTCCAGGACCTGTTGGACCCTCTCCACAGAACAGCGCTCTTGCTATCCAGGTTATTTAGACTTTGTGTGCCTCACTGATAGAACCTTCTCAAATTCCAGTCCTCCTACAATTCCCACTGCCACATCGGCTCTGCGACCAGAGACCCCTGTCTTATGTCCACAGTCCCTTGTCCTCTCTCCTAATCCTTCCAATAATTTATCCAGGTAGTCCAGGCTAGCTTCGAATTCTCCGCAGTCCCCCTGCCTCCGGTTCCCCAGTGCTGGGATGCCAGGCACACGTTCGATTTTGCATCATGTTGCGCTTTCTATTCCATTTCCCATCCCCTTTGTCCCCACACCGGCCCCCAAGCCCCTTTCCCACCCGCGGTGACCCTGTCCCCTCCCGGTGGGGCCACTCACCATCTTCCAAGCGCTCAGGGCCAGGGCTGGGCACTGTGCTGAGATTGACAGCTGCAGCTGCAACTGCCGCGCCCCGCCCCCAGGCCCTGATTGGAAAGGACCAGACCCACACTACAACACTCACTGTGAGACCAGAGCCCCTGGTTGGACCCATGTCCTGATTGGGTCGCTCTCCTAGTACCCGCCCCCTCTGGACTGAGTGACAGCCTCTGTGCGCAGGAGAGCGGCGGATCTTGTCACACCCCCGCCTGATTGCTAGGCCTGCTGCGCACGCGGGATGTCTAAGCCCCTTTGTGCCGTCTGGTCTTCGCTGAGGGGTTGGAGGGCCCCCGAGGGTGACATCACTCCCTGGGGCAGCCCAGCGGCCCGTGTGTATCTCCATCTAGGAGAGAGGGACTAGGTGTTCGAGGTATCGCCTGACTCAGTTTACCATGCAGCCAGGTCCACGCAGGGACAGGAAAGGCAAATGGCCTGGTGGCCTGCAAGATCAGAGGTCAGCCTGGCCCTCGGGGTCACTCGTGCATCAGAGCCAGCTGTTTGGCAGTGAGGACAGGGCCAGGGCTTAGTGGGTAGCGTGCTTGTAGGTCTGTGGGTAGAGCGCTCACCTAGCATGCACAAGGCCCTGGGTCCATCCCCAGCAACCCATAAAGGACATGTGGGGGTGCACGCTTGTCATCACGGCACTGGGGAGGAGGAGGCAGGAGACTGAGGCTAGGGTTACACAGAGACAACCTTCCAAGCCCTACAGCCCGCACACTCCTCAGACTATCCGGCTTTTAAATATTTATTCATTTATTTTTATTTTATGTGTATAAGTGTATTGCCTGCTTGTATGAGTGCACCCGTGTCGTGCAATGCTCAGGGAGGTCAGAGGAGGGCATCGGATCCCCTGGAACTGGACTTATGTGTGGGTCCCCCAACACTTATGGACGGTTGTTAGCTTCCATGTGGGTGCTGGGAACTGAACCCGGGTCCTCTGAAGAGCAGCCAGTGCCCTTGACAGCTGAGCCACCTCTCTGGCCTCTATATGGCAATTTTAGTAGAATTATTCACAGCCCCGTTTCTATGTATTTTGTGTGCGTACGTGTGCCACACCTTAAGCTTAAGTTGCAGGCGTCTGTTCTATCCTTACAGGTGGATTCCGGGAATAGAACTCAGGTCCTCCTGTTGGTGCCATGCGCCTTTATCCCTTGAGCCATCTCACCGGCCCGTCTTTGTTTCCATTTCTTTCCCTGTCACTTACTCATTCATTCATTTTTTTTCTTTCCTGCAGGCTTGTTCCTCGAGACCGCAACACATGAGAGGCCTAGCCCTTGATTTCATTGCTCACAGGACGAGAACGGCCTAGGAGCACAGGTGAAGCGCATGCGCAGCCTGCTCCTCGTTACCGTGGAAACAGGACCGCCCCCTCCCGCTCCCCGGTGATGGGTCTACTGCTCCAATTCAAAGCCAAGACTTCGGGCGTACACTGATGACTCTCTTTCGACCAGCCCACCTCTCAGCCTCCTGGCCGCCATTGCGGAAATGCGCCTCCTGCCCTTTGAGCCCCCGTCCTCGATCTTTGAACTTCCCGTCCGCTGGCGTCAACCGCCCGGAGCGGAAGGAACCGCACTGTGGACTAGGGCGCCGTCGCGACAGCTATAAGAGTCGCAGGCCTCAGGGAGCTAGGCTACCTTCGTTTCGGCTCAACTTCCGGCTGATTAACTTCCGGTTCCGGCCGCAACCACATCAGTTTCCGGTTCCTTTGAACTTCCGGATTCCATCACCTTAACTTCCGGATTCCGCTCACAATAACTTCCGGTTTCGACCCTTGTGCTGGTTCACTCGGAAACGGAAGTCGCAGCTAGTCAGAGATTTGTGATTGGTGAAGTAGTTGCTATCTCTAATCCTGCCCCTGGGCGACTGTGATTCGATCTTGACCTGGCGTCGCAGCCTCGTGGGCGTGTCCGATGGAAACTTCCGGGTGGGCGTGGCTTGTCCTGGATGCCCTCCTTGCTTAGAGGGGAACGTAGAAGTGATTCTATTAAAGCTCAGGCCAGTACCGCCAGAGTGCTCCGGGGCCGAGGCGTCTGCTGCTAACCTTGTAGACCGGAGTTCGATCCCCGAGTCCCCGGTGGTGGAAGACGCAGGCCCACACCTTCAACTTGTCCTCTGCCTTCCACATGCACAGGCCTGCGCGAACACAACAAACAAATACAGAAATAGAAACGCCTCGGTCTCTAGCAGTGCGTCATGGTGCCCCTAAAAGCACACAATAGGACTAACTTGGGGCTTTTTTTCCCTCACTGTCTTAGCTCTGTTTTTCCTTTTTACTTTTTCTTCGTTTTCTCCTTTTATTTTATTTACTTTAAATATTTTATTCATTATTGTTTTTTAAATTTTTTGTGTATAAGTGTTCAACCTTCTTGTATGTAAGTACATTGATGTCATGTAGTGGCCCCAGAAGGTCAGAAGTTTGGTTCGTGGTTCATCGCTATGTATCCGAAGCTGACCCTCCTTCCTCCATCTCCCGAATGCTGGCATAACAGGCGCGTGCCACCCAATTGGTTTCTGTGGCTTGGGAGGATGGAGGCGAGCACTCTGCCCACTGAGCCCCAAGTCCATTTTCGCCTCATATCTTCCACAGGTGGGTCCCCCAGTTCCTCCATCTCCGAACGCGCTGTGATGCTGCATCCTGGCCAGCAGGTGGCGACCTAGCTGCACCTCAACCTGGCCGGCATTGCATTGTGCTTTGGCTAAACCCTGAACCTGTTAGTTTTGAGATTATCATCTCCCTGTAGCCAAGTGCTGTCCTGGAACTCACTATGTAGCCCAAACTATCCTCGAACTCACAAAAATCTGCCTGTCTATGTTCCCGAGTGCTGGGATTAAAGGTGTGGGCTATCACACCTGGTAAATGCCTTTTTACATGTTTAGTTACATATTTGCTCATTCATGCATTCATTTTAGTCATCAGTGGTCTCTCACCGATGGACCACCCTGAGAATTACCATTCTGACACACAACCCCCAGGCAATATGGTGGGATTGCAGTTATTGGGCTCACCAACCCCTATCTAAGGCTATTTGAGGCTGGGCTCAATAGGAGGGAACTCTGGTCTGGTACTGAGGCCGCAGAGGGGGGAACTGTTACTGCTCTAGTAGAGGGAGCAGCTCCTGGTCACAGTGGTCAGGAGCGAAGCTGCAGCAGAGATGGGGAGGAAGGGGCTCACTGGCTCCCCTGCCCTTTCTTACACAGCCCGGACCATCTGCCCAGGATGGCACTGCCCAAAGGGGGCTAGACAGTCAAAAAAATGCCCCTCGGACAGGGCCACAGGCCAAGCCGATGGAGGTGATGCCTCAGCCAGGTTCCTGCTTCCCAGGTGTCACTCGCTAGTTTATGTCAAGCTGACAAAACACAAGCAGCCCAGACCCCACAGCCACATGCCTACAGGCAGCACTAACTGAATTTAGTGAGTTTCTTTAAAGGGTGTGGAGCTGGAGAGCTGGCTCAGTAGTTTAGCACAGTGGCTACTCTTGCAGAGGACCCGGGTTTGGTTCCCAGCACCCACATGGCGTCTAACCACCATCCATAACTCCAGTTCCAGGGATATTTGCCCTCTTCTGGCCTCATCTGGCATTGCATGCATGTAGTGCATCGACATACATGCAACCCAAACACTCATACATATAAAATAAAAATAAAGAATTTTTAAAAAAAGATACTGGGGCTGGAGAGATGGCTCGGTGGTTAAGAGTACTGGTTGTTCTTGCAGAAGACCCTGGTTCGAATACCAGCACCCACCTGGCAGCTAACAACTGTCCGTAACTCCAGTTCCAGGGGATTCAGCAGCCTCTTCTGTCCTCTGCGGGCATCGCATGACACGGGTGCACTTACCTACATGTGGGCAATAAACACATACACATAAAATAAAAATAATGAAGCGGGGCATGGTGGCACACGCCTTTAATCCCCGTGCTCAGGAGGCAGAGGCAGGCGGATCTCTGCGAGTTCAAGGCCAGCCTGGTCTACATAGTGAGTTCCAGGACACCTGGGGCTACAAGGAGACCCTGTCTCAAAAAAGACAATAAATAAATAAACAAATAAATAAATAAATAAATAAAATAAAGGTACGAAGTTGGGCGGCCTGACTTATTGGGAGAACATGGAGCAAGCTGGAGGGGGACTGGGCGTAGATACGACCATATTTCAACGTGTGTATGTGTGTATGAAAGTCTTTTTAGCGCTTTATTATTATTTTATGTGTATGAGTATTCTTTCCTGCATGTGTGTAAATGCATGAGTCCCTAAGTGCAATGCCTATGGATGCCAGAAGGTGGCGTCAAATTCCCTGACACTGGAGTTAAGGCCCTCTGCCAGAGCAGTCAGTGCTCTTTACTGCTGAGCCGTCTCTCAGCTGCATGGATGAAATTCTGAATAAAAACTAAAAGGAGCTGAAGACGTGGCTCAGCGGTTAAGAGCACTGACTGCTCTTGCAGAGGACCTGGGTTCGATTCCCAGCACCTACATGGTGGCTACGAACCGTCCTTGACTCCAGTTCCAGGAGAATCCAAAGCCCCCTTCTGACCTCCGCGGCATTGTACAACACGGGTGCACTCATACATGCAGGCAATACACTCATACACATAAAATAAAAATAATAAATAAAATATTTAAAAAACAAACAGTAGCTAGGCGTGGTGGCGCACGCCTTTAATCCCAGCACTCACTCAGGAGGCAGAGGCAGGCGGATCTCTGTGAGTTAAAGGCCAGCCTGGTATACATAGTGACTTCCAGGACAGCTGGGGCTACAGGGAGAACCCTGACGGCAAATTCAATAAATAAAATAGTAGAGTCAGTATAATGGCTCAGCAGGTAAAGACCCCTGGTAATCTAAGTTGGACCCTTAGACTTAGGTGGTGGGATTCTCCCTGCAGGTTGTCCCCTGACCTCCACAGGTGCTATGGCACATACACAAATTGAATAAATACATGTTTAAAAAAAAAGAATAATAAAATAACGATATCAGGCATGGTGGGGCAAGTGTTTGATCCCAGCATTCAGCAGGCAGACCTCTGTGAGATCAAGGCCAGCCTGGGCTACATCATAGCGAGTTCCAGGCTAGCTTGGCTTACAGGGAGACCCTGTCTCAAGAAATAAAAACAATAAGAATACATTAAAAATAAAATTATCAAAAAATAAAATAGTGTAATTGACATAAGAAAGCATTAGGCCTGTGGGTTTTCAGGCCTGGGTGGAGCAGGTTCAATGCCCTCGTTCCCAGGACAGGAAAACATAAAATATGAAAGACAAACAAGACATTCTTTGGGATAGTTTTGGTCTTTTTAAGACAGGGCCTCCCTGTAGCTGGTCTGGAACTCACAGAGATCCACCTGCCTCTGCCTCCAGAGTGCTGGGGTTAAAGAGACGTTATTTATTATTTATTTTGTCTTTTTGAGACAGGGTCTCCCTGTAGCCCCAGCTGTCCTGCACCTCACTATATAGATCAGGCTAGCCTTGAACTCAAAAGATCTGCCTGCCTCTGCCTCCAGAGTGCTGGGATTAAAGGCGTGCGCCACCACGCCCGGCTTTAAAGAGACATTTTTGAGGTGACTTAACAATTTGCAAAATTGGACGGAATACATTGACTAGAAATCCGAACAATGCACTAAGTGCAATGACGTCATCTGTAAATTAGTTCCGGTTGTCCAAAGGGGTGCGGCCGCTTGGTGGCGCAAGAGGCCTTCTGCTGAGCTAATGAATTTTCTTCTTTAGTTTTGGCCTTCCGGAAGGAGTAATGACCCAGGAATGTGTTGTCCCAGCTTTGGGTGTCTCACTGATCGCCTTCAACTATATGTGGTTGGGACACAGCAGTTTTGAATTCTTGCCTAGCCTGTGCAAATGTCCTGGGGTGCACCCTGGCTCTGAAAGGAAATCAGGATTTACAGTGATGGGTAGGAGTGTCCTAGTTGAGATTTTACAACAATTTTTACTACATTTATGGAGGTCAGAGGACAGCTTGGCATAGGTTCTGTATGTCCACCGTGAGGGTTCTGGAAATCGAACTCAGTCCCTCCAGTCTTGGCTGCAAACCCTCCTACCTACTGAGCCATCTTGCCCCTTATTTTTGAGGCAAGCTCTCACTATGTATCCCAGGCTGGCCTCAAACTCATCATAATTTCCCTCCCTCTGTATCCGGAGTGATAAGATTCCAGACATGTACCACCAGGAATTAGTTTCTTTTGGAGGCTTTGTGATAAACAGAATGAGTCTCCCCCAAATGTACCAAAGTTCTAACCTAGAGTTCTGGACCATAGGAAGGGGGTGTCATTTAGAAATCATGTGTTTGTAGACATAATGGTAGAAGACATCTTTGGGTGTCCCCTAATCCAGGGATGTGCCCTTGTATGCCGAGGGGAAATTTGGGGTACAGAGACACACAGGAAAAAGTTACTGTCACGCAGATGTGAACCCGGGTGTAATGGGTTTTCCACTAGAGCCCCAGAGAGGCAGGAAGGGCCCCCTGTGTCCCCAGGGGCTCAGCCCTGAGCACATTATCAAACCCCATGGAGAAACCTTTTTTTCGGTTTTTTGTTTGTTTTTTTTTTTGTTGTTGTTGCTGTTTTTTGGTCTTTTTGATGTAGGGTCTCCCTGTAGTCCCAGCTAGCCCAGAACTCGCTATGTAGAGTAGGCTGGCCTCGAGCTCACAGAGATCTGCCTGCTTGCCTCTGTGCCCAAGTGCTGGGATTAAAGGCATGGGCCAGTCCAGCTCACCCTTTTGTTAAGACTGGAGTCTAGCTGTTTGTCACAGCCTGAATGGAATTCAGTAAGACCATGTGCACATGATGGGTTGGAGTGGGACCAGAATGAATTGAAGAATTCAGTCTCTGACTATCCAGGGCCTTGAGGGGGACACTCAACCCAGGGCAGCAGCTCTGTCCCGCTCAACTGAAGGCCTGTCACCCTCATCTTTTGGTCCTGAAAGTTGAGGCTGTCACATGTCGGGGCTGGGCAGTCAGGGATGGGTGAGTCAGAGGCCTACTGTACCACAACCCAAAGTCGTCACCCCAAGGGTGAAGCTATCCTCAGCTCTCCCCAGAGTGATCTGCTTGGTCTGTCTTATTTCTGGCCTGAACAAGGCTACTTCATGAGTTTTGGGGATTTGGGTTGGTGTTTGACTTTCTTTTAGGTGCTGGGATCTAAGCCAAGGACTATTCACACTAGGCAGGAGACTCTTTGCCCATGCCCCTCACTGGGGATTCTAGGCTGTCGCTCTGCCCCTGAGCCACCCCCCCAGCCCCTCACTGGGGATTCTAGGCTATCACTTTACACCTGTGCCACACCTCCAACTTAAAAAAAAATTATTTATTATTATTTTTATGTGTGTATTGCCTGCGTTTTAGATATGTGCACCCATGCTGTGCAATGCCCGCCAAGGCAAATCCCCTGGATCCTCTGGAACTGGAGTTACAGACAGTTGTTAGCTGTCATGTGGGTGCTGGGATTTGAACCTTCGTCTTCTGCAAGAACAGCCAGTGTTCTTAACCTCAGAGCCATCTCTCCAGCACTTATCTCATCTGATGTGTTTTTTGCATTGAGAAAAGTCTTTAATGTAACGGATTTCTAGTGCAGAAATTGCACACTCCCTGCCCACTGCAGCATTTATTGCTGATTCCAACACAAAGCAGGAAAAATACCCCAACTTTTCAAAGATTTATTTTTTGGATATTTTATCATTTTTATTTTTTAATGTGTATGTATGTATTGCCTGCATGTAAGTGCACTCGTATAGTGCAATGCCCACTGAGGTCAGAAGAGGGTGTCGAATCCCCTGGAACCGGAGTTATGGACAGTTGTTAACTGCCATGGGGGTGCTGGGGTTCTCACCCTGGTCTTCTGCAAGAGCAACCAGTGCTCTTAATCGCTGAGCCATCTTTCCAGCCCCCCCCCAAAGTTATATTTTTAAAAATTTAGTTTTTTGTGTATGTATGTCTATACCTGTGGAGGTCAGAGAACAACCAGAGGACGACCGGTAGGTGTCTGATCTCCCCTTCCAACATGCGGGTCTAGGGGATGGATCTTAGGCCTTCCGGCTTGGCAGCAAGCTCCATCACCTGTTGAACCCTCTCGCTGGCCCCAAATGCCCAGACCTTTCACCCAATATGGTGATCGGACTTCACTCAGCCACCGTGCCAGGCTCTCCTTGTCGGGTCCCAGTCCTCTCTGGGTTCCAGAGAACAGAGCCAGAATGCTGCACAAGGCCCTTCTGGGTTTTGGGATCTCAGGGGTTAATCCGAGGCCTGGGGTTCCTTGATTGACAACTGCGGCCAAAAATGCCTGGATGAGTTGACCAATGAAAAATCGCGATCGCAGCCCACGTGTGGCTATTGCTTTGTGATTGGCTAACGATCCCAGGCCCCGCTAGCGGAGTGCTGAGCCCACGTGCACTTGCTGCTGTGTTAATAGGAGGCCCTTAGGGTTGCAGGTGGCTGGGGGGCGTGTCCAGGGCCGGGGGGCGTGACCAGGGCGGGGCGGGCGGGGCCGGACAAGGTGAAATGGCCCAGTGGGAGGGGGAGGATCCTGCTCCGGCCTGAACTTGCCTGACCTCTGTGGCTTCCTCTAGGCTCCCCATCGTCAAAGGCGGTGCGTGGGTGCTGGGACCTTGGAGTACGGAGAGGGTGTGTCCTCTAGGCTACCGAGGGGACTTGGGTACAAAACTGATTCATGTAAAGAGGTTACCCGGGGTGAGTGACGGGGGCGGACCATCATAGGTCTTGAATGATAAATCCTTAATTAGAGCACATGGCAGACTCTTACCCGCACTTCAAAACCCTCTGCAGTTAACCTGTGACTTTTAGAGACTCTCCAAATTCACGTTCGAGTTTGGTGAGAGAACATCCCTGGGCTCCTCATTCCCAACTGCTCCCACTGGGGAGTGCAGGCACTGTACCAGCTCCCTGCATCTCGAGGGGGGAGCGAGGGGAGCTGGGCTCAGTTCTTTGGGAGACTGCTCCGGAAGGTGTTTGGTGGGACACACTGCAAGTTGAGTGGGGCTGGGGTTTTGTGACTCGGGCACAGCTGTACTTGTCCCCACCAGGATTTAATATGCCTTTGTGACTTGGAGAATCTTCCAGAAGATGACTTCTCAGAGCCAGGCCATCCCCAAGGGGCCGGTCAGTGACATTCTGGTGAGAAAGCCGGGGTGGGGAAGGGACGGAGTCTCCTTGATCCCTTCATATGGGATTTGGTTTTGCAGTTTTTCCTTTTGATTTTTGAGACTGAGGCTTACTCTGCAGCCCAGGCTGGCCTGGAGCTGTCAGCAGTCCTTTGGCCTCAGCTACAGGGTTACAAGCCTGTATCCCCGGTCCCGGAGCCCCTGGATGGGTTTGAGTGCACCCTTAGGATGCTCGGGTGGAAACTATAAACCAGCCCCCAGAGAAGACCAGGGCTAGGCTTTGCAAATTAAGCTTCAATCACCGGGTGATTAACCCTGAGAACAGCTGGTCCCTGGTTTGCAAGTTAAAGCTCCTCCCATATGTAGGCGTGGCTCATGGGTAGAGTGACAGCTTAGAACCCCCAGTAAAGGGCTAGGGCCGTGGCTCAGGGTAGACAGCTCAGAATCCCCAGTGAGGGGCTGGGGCGTGGTTCAAGGGCCAAGCCCTTGCCTAGTACGTAGTAAATTGACTTCGGAGCCTAGAAGCTTCCACCACAACACCTGTATCCAGGGTTTGCAGCCTGGGTTGATGGGCACACAGGAGATTTGGGAGTCTGGGGTCTGCGGCTTTATGGGTTTGACCTTTGACCTCTCCAGCCTTATGACTTGATGAAGAGTTACTCATCTTGTTCTAATGTTATTGCTCAGCTGCCTGGAGACATCCGCAGGTGAGGGCTGTTTTCACAAGACTCCGGTTGGGAAGGGCTTTGTCCCCAAACTGAGTATCAGTCTCAGCCAGTAGGACAGGGAACTTAGATGCACTCTTGACTTTTATTTAAAACATTAATTTGGGGGAAATAAAAAGCGGGGTGTGGTGGTGCAGACCTGTGATCTCAGTACTTAGGAGGCAGTGGCAAGCAGATCTCTGAGATCAAGGCCAGCCTGGTCCCTACTGAAAATACCCAAGGGTTGGGGTGGAGAGTTGACTAAGAGGTTAAGAGCACTGGCTGCTCTTGCAGAGGACCTGGGTTCAGTTCCCAGCACCCACATGGCAGCTAACAACTGTTCATAACTCCAGTTCCAGGGAATTCAACACCCTCTTCTGACCTCAGTGGGCATTACATGCATGGGCACACTTACATACATGCAGCCAAAACACTCATACACATAAAATAAATACCCAAGGGCAGGGAAACCACTCAGTGGTACAGCACTTGCACAGCACATGCAAGGGCCCTGGGGTCAGCCTGGCTCCATTTTCTGGGTGGTTTTTTTTTTTTTTTTGTCTTTTTGCAATGGTCTCCCTGTAGCCCCAGCTTTCCTGGAACTCACTATATAGACCAGGCTGGCCTCGAACTCACAGAGATCCGCCTGCCTCTGCCTCCCGAGTGTTTCTGGGTGGTTTTTTTTAGGCCACCTGCTTTAGAGTAGTTGTCCTTGTCCTTATGGGGTTTTGCTCAAGGGTGGAGGAAAGGGTTCTTTCTAGAAGACCCTTGTAACTGCTCTTTCTCCACCCCCAGGCTCATCAGTGAAATGATGGGGCAGTTGGAAAGCACCTCCTACCTGGTGAGCTGTCCCTGGTGCCAGGCCGGGTGGGGACCCCTGTACTCACCCTAGCCATAGGACAAATGCTGTCTTAAAGTTAAGGCCTGGGCAAAAAAAAATTAAAGGAGTTTGCCCAGTGTCACACAGCATTGAGACCCCACATGACCCTGGGCTGTGCATCACTTTCAGGTCAAGAAAGTCCAGAAGTCAATTGAAGAACATCACCAACAGGTGAGCTAGTGCCTGGGGCTTGGGGCCATCTGTTCCCTGACCCCTCAGGAGTAGCCAGTGAGGGAGGAAGGAGGCAGGGAGGAGAGAGTTGCTGGCCACAGGAAGGACTTGATCTTTGACTCTGAGACTAGTGGGAGCCATGGAGGGTTGTAGACAGAGTTGCTTTAGAAACCCTCCTGAGGTTAGAGAATCACACATCTTGCTGACAGGCCTTTGTCCTATCCCTGTTTACCAGGCTCTGGACTGGGGTGCAGCCTTCCATCTCCACCCCCTTCCTCCTGGGCACTGTGAGGAAGGAGGCTCTGCCTAGGGCCAGATGTCACTGGCAGGGAGCCAGGATGCTGCTGTGCTTGGGGCTTAGCAAGGCCTTGGGTGGGCAGCATGGGGAAGATGGGGAGGAAGACCCAGAAGCCACAGCACCATTAGTCATTCAAGATGCTGAGCCACCCACCCCCAGCTCACCAGGCCCCAGAGATGCCAGGGAAAGAGCAAAGACCAGAGACTGAGGGGGGATGATGGGCAGGTGCCAGAACCCCAGGTGGGAGCCAGGCAGCTCCGCGAATGGGCCGAGGAACCAGAATGGGTGTGGGTGGCAGCTCAGGGTGATCAGGAAGGTAAACTGAGGCCAGCAGAGGCAAAAGGGATGTTCTCTGGGGTTGTGTGAAACATGGTCCAGAGAGAAGTGACAGGCTGTGGTGCAAAGGCCCCAGGGCTGAGGACATAGCTGTGCAAAGGCCCTGGGGCAGGACAGAGCCTGGTGTGTTGGAGGAGCAGCAAGGAGGCCTGTGTTTCTGGAGCAGAGGGAGCGGCGGGCAGAGAGGGACAAGGGAGGACAGAGCAGGGCCGTATGGGCTGCAGGGAGGACTGGGGCTTTGGGACTGAGGTAGGAGGGAGCCATGGCTGGCTGTGGGCAGATAGAGCTGCTAGTGCTCACTGGTGCTCCCTAGCCTCTGGAGGAGGCAGAGCGGGAGGGGTGAAGACAGACGGAGACACTGGGGTCAGTTAGGTTGGCCCCTTTGCTGGCTTCAGCCCCTTAAGGAAGTGATCCAATTGATGGTTTGCAACAGGACCTGCCTAGACTAGGGGTGAAGCTCAGAGAGGAGGCCCCCGGCGGGGGCGGGGGGGAGGATCCCTGATCTTTAACTTGTGATATCCCTGAGGTCCTCTGCAGCCTCAGGTTTTCCCCTGCCCTTACTGTATTCCCCCATCCATTCCAGAACCCTGCCTTCCCCAGGGAGCGCCCTGCAGCTCTCCGCTCACTCTGAGCGCATTAAAGTGCTGGTAAATTGCCCATTAAGGAGCCAGGGTGAATTGGAGAGGCTCCCCTGGGTTTCCAGCCTGCTGGGCTTGCTCTGCCAGGGAATCCATCCTTCACTCTGTTCCCAGGCAGTAGCCTGGGGGGGGGGGGCAGGCTTCTGCTACAGAAACAGGAACTTGGCTTCCTGTCCTGGTGTTTAGGAATTTGTCTTTGGAATCTCTGGATCTCAGTTTCCCCAACTGCAGAACAAGAATTCCTTTGATGACTCAGATAGGACTGACTCTCGCTAGCCAGGCACCCAGCCCTTGCTCTACACAGAGCTACACACCAGACCTTGTAGTCTCATTAGCCCAGGCTGACCTCCAGCTCCCTATGTAGCCAAGGATGACCCTGAACTCATCCTGCCTCAGCTGGGATGACATGCTTGCACCACCACAACCAGACTTGTAGGGTGTGGTTTTAAGCCCAGAGTTCTGAATTTACCTCTGCGCACATAGAGGTTGCCAAGTGCCAGACATTGCCTCGTGTATCTCACAGTCACAAACTCTTGCTCCCTTCCACTCTTGCTTAGTGACTGGGACAAGGTTTAACTCTTAACTCGTTCTAGGTAGAACACTTCTTCCATTTGATGCAGACTTTTGGGAGACCCACCCAGGTTCTGGAGTTGGTCAAGGTGAGTGTCAGGTGTTTGGATGGGCAAAGGAGGGGGATGGATGGCTCTGCCTGTATCTTGTCTCACAAGGCTCCTGTGGCCGCTGTCCAGGCCAGCCAGTTTTCAACCAAGAAAGAAGCTGAGATTCCCGAGACCAAGATCCCTCAGGAGCCCAAGTTCACAGCCACCTCAGTGTCCCAGCTTTATGACAGGCAGCTGTCACTCTCAGAGGCTGATGAGCCGCTGGAGCCGCAGCCAGTCTGGGAGCAGGAACCCCATTTTTGGGAGGACATTTTGACCCAGCAACTTTGGCAGATTTTCACTGATAGCCACAAGAAGGCCCAGGGCGGACTCGGAAGTGAGTGTCTGTTAGCTGTGGAGCTGGGGGGCAGGCAGCCTGGGGCTGTGTGCGGGGGCGGCTTGTAAACCTTATTTTCTCTCCATCTCCTCTATGCCCGTTGTCATAGCAACAGAGAAGATACTGGAACAAGTGAGTGCCTGTGGCTGGGGCCCACAGAGGACCTGGGACCTGGGCCGTGTGTATGTGTGCTTACTCAGCTCTGTCTCCCTAGGGAAGCAAGGACTCAGGCCTGTGTGATTCCGAAGCACAGCCCGGTCAGCTGGGTGCTCCTAGGAGTGGGCGGCTCCTGGAGGGATGGAGGAGGGGCCTCCATGCTCCCAGGATGCCCATCAGCCCTGTTGTTTCCACCTAGCTCACATCCTGCCAGAGTCCCCATCACCATCGCCACAGGAATCGTCCACTGTCTCTGAACAAGAGACCAGCCAGCTCCACCATGAGGTCCAGGAATCTTCTGATCTAGGCCATCCATTTCTAAAGCCTTTGTGAGTCTGTGTTCTGTTGGCCTCAGCAGCCAGAAATACCTTGTCTCTGTCCCTCTGTTTCCCCACCCCCACCCCCACCACACCATGAGAGGTTCAGGGTCTGTTTCAAGAGATGAGTGGGAAGAGGGGGCTGGCAAGAGGGCTCAGAGGTAAAGGGGCTTGTGGCCAAGCCTGATGACCGACCTGAGTTCAATCCCCAGAATGCACATAGTGCTACATAGTGAGTTGGAGTTTAGCCTGGGTTACATTAGACCCCGACTCAAACACAGACCTTTTGGGGCTGGGTGAACACCTCTTTTGGGGAACAGGTGGGTTACCCCAAATCCTGACCATCTGCAGATCCTGGGACCCCGAAGACTTTGAGGACAGCTGGCAGAGGCCAAGTGCATCTCTCTGGAAATCAAAGAGGTTTGCCGTCCCTCACGCTCTGCACAAGGTGCGCGTGCTGAAACATGGGGAGCTGCTGCTGGCCACGGCGGTGAGCAGCTTCACGAGACACGCATTTACGTGTAGCCGGGGTGGCATCAAAGTCTGGAGCCTCACGGGCCAGGTGGCTGAGGACCACTTCCCAGACAGCCACCTGAAGCCAGCCGGTGTCCAGGTGATGGGCAGGGCAGGCGAGGGGAGGGGGCTTGGGGGGAGACACCTTCCAGGGTAAACAGGGGATACTACCTCACGGTGACTGTCCCTTTCAGACCCCTGGCGCCTACCTGCGCACCTGCCTGCTGTCCCCTGACAGTAGGACGCTGCTCGCAGGTGGACAGAACCTGTCCGCTGTGAGCGTCTGGGACCTGGCAGCCCCTTCCCTCCACCTGAAGTGCCAGCTGCCTTGTGAGGGACTGTCCTGCCAGGCGCTGGCAGCCAGCCTGGAGGACAACCAGGCCTTTGCCGGCTGCACCAATGGTATTGTTAGGATGTGGGACCTGTGTAGTGGGAAAGTAATCAGGTGAGGACAGCCCCTCACTGGGGATTCTAGGCTGTCACTCTACCCTGAGCCACGCCCCCAGCCCCTCACTGGGGATTCTAGGCTGTCACTCTACCCTGAGCCACGCCCCCAGCCCCTCACTGGGGATTCTAGGATGTCACTCTACCCTGAGCCACGCCCCCAGCCCCTCACTGGGGATTCTAGGCTGACACTCTACCCCTGGACCATGCCCCAGCCTTTTTTCTATTTATAATTCTTTTAGCCTTTTTGAGACAGGGTCTCCTTGTAGCCCCAGCTGACCTGGAACTCACTATGTAGACCAGGCTGGCCTCCATTGCACAGAGCTCTGCCTGCCTCTGCCTCCCTAGTGCTGGAATCAAAGACTTGCAGCACCACACCTGGCCCTGGGTTGACTTTCACTGCCGCTCTTGGGAGCACAGGGATTTTGGGGTGACCACACCATTCTTTGGTGCCTCAAATGGAAGAGGAATAGGATGTTGTATATGGCAGTCAGGCTGGGGGAATTTCCAGAACTCAGACCTCCAAATCTTGGGTAACCCCTTTTACTGGCTCTTCTGGCCAGGGACTTCGTGGGCCCTGTCAATGGGGCCAAGAGCCTCGTGGTCAAGGACAATGAGCTGTGGACAGGGGGTCTGGATGCCTGTCTGCGACGCTGGGATATGCGAACGGCCAGGGAGGCTGTGGAGTACACGTTCCAGTCTCAGGTTTGTGGACCCTCAAGCCCCAAGACACTGTGGACTTGGGAGGAGAGGGGACATGCTAGCTAGGTCACCTCAGCTGACACTGTCAAAACATAGGAGTCATTAAAAGACTTTGTTAGCTGGGCATGGTGGCACACATTGTCGTCCTAGTGTTGGGGAGGTCGAAGGAGCAAGAGGTCAGGGTCATCCTTGGATACATAGGAGTTTGAGGCCACCCTGGGCTACATGAGACCCCATTTGAATTACAAATGAATATTTTATGCTGGTTTTTGAGCCTAGCCCAGGCTATGTAGTGAGACCTTGTCTCAATAAAATCAAAACAGCAAGTGGAACAGAATCTCTTCTAATCTCTGTTCTGAAGCCCTGTAAACTTTGTCACCCTATACCCATCTCACAGGGCAGCAAAGTGAGGCCTTCTGATGGGAAGTTTTTGCACAAAGTAGCAGGCAGCAAGCCTGCCTTGGGGGTCCCTGGACTCTTGCCTGCCTCTTGTACCAGGCTGGGGGCCAATGGCACCTCTGTCCCCCCCAATCCCCATTCTTTGTAGATCATGAGCCTGTCGAACAGTCCCCAGGAAGACTGGCTGCTGATGGGCCTGGCAAATGGCCATCAGTGTCTCTACAGCACCACCCAGGGGAGCCAGGCACTCACGGTGGGCACCAAAGACAAGACCATCCTGGGTCTCAAGTTCTCCCCAAACGGTACGGAGTCTACAGAAGACAGGGCATCCGCTGGGCTCCCCAACCAACCAGAATATTCTACCCCATTTGACCAGCACTTTGATACCCCAGGTCCTTGTTGACATAAGCAGTTCACAGCAATCAAGAATGCAGGGTCTTGCTGGGTGTGGTAATGCACGGCTTTAGTCCCAGCACTCAGAAGCCAGAGGCAGGGGGATCTCTGTGAGTTCCAGGCCAGCTGGGGCTACAGGGATACCCTGTCTTAAAAAGAGCAAAAAAGAAAAAAAAAAATGCAGGGTCTTTTTTTGTTTGGTCTTTTTGAGACAGGGTCTCCCTGTAGCCCCAGCTGGCCTGGAACTCAGAGATCTGCCTGCCTCTGTACTGGGATCAAAGATGTATGCTACCATGCCCCACTTAAAAAAAAAAATTCAGGGTCATCCTGGGCTACATAGGTACTTTGAAGCTAGCCTGGGCTACATGAGACCTGTGTCAAAACACCAAAAACCGCAAAAATCAAAGCAGAAACAAAAACTTTTTAAAATCATTGGTTTGGGTTATTTTGAGACAGTCTCACTATGTTGCCCAGGCTGGCTTTGACTCATATCCATCTGCTTCAGCTTCCCAAGTGCCGAGATTAAGGGTATAGGCCTGGCTTTTTATTTTAATTTTTTTGGGGGGGAGGGTATCTTTTTAAGACAGGGCCTCCCTGTAGCCCAAGCTGGCCTGGAACTCCCTATGGAGACCAGGCTGGCCTTGAACTCACAGAGATCTGCCTTCCTCTGCCTCCCAGAGTGCTGGAATCAAAGGTGTTCCCACCACGCCTGGCCTAATTTAAATATTTTAAAAAAATTTTTATGTGCCTGTATATTGCCTGCATGTATGTAACTGTACCCGTGTCATGCAGTGCCCATGGAGGCCAGAAGAGGGTATCAGATTATCAGATTCCCCTGGAACTGCAGTTACAGATGTTTTTTTTTTTTTTCAGCTGCCATGTGGGTGCTGGGAATCAAACCTGGGTCCTCTGCAAGAGCAGCCAGTGTTCTTAACCACTGAGCCAGGTCTCCAGACCATTTGTTTTTTTGAGGCAGTCTCATGTAGCCCAGGCTTGCCTCCAGTTCCCTATGTGTTAGGATGACTCTAAACTCTGAATCTTCCTGCATCTGCCACCCAAGTGCTAGGGTGACAGGCAGGTATCTACAACATACAGGAGGGAGAGGGTAGGCTTCCTGTGACCCCATTGTCCCCTCTGTTCTCTGCTGTCTCCAGGCCAGTGGTGGGTGAGTGTGGGGATGGACGATCTGGTCACTGTACACAGCATGCCCACAGGAGCCAAAGTCTTCCAGGTATCCCTGCTCAGGGGGGACCCTTTGGGACCAGGGTGACACTGTGACAGTGCAGAGTCCTGCCTTAGGGACCATCCCTGACCTGGTGGGTGGATGGAGACCAGGCCCAGATCCCCTGTGCTTGTAAGAGCTGCTGTCCATGCAGGTCCGAGAGGCCACCTCTACCACATGCTGCGATGTGGCTGCCAACGGCCGGCTGGTTGTCGTAGGGTCTGGGGACCAGGCCTCTGTGTACCAGATAACCTACTGACGGCCCCCCCCATCGTCTGACCTGCCCCCTTCCCTTGCTCTTCCCTTTGCTGCAGTGGTGGGTGGCGGGGTTAGGGTGTCTGGTTTTCCCAAGGGGTATCTGTGGTTCCCTGTGGGGTGTGTAGACCCCCAGGTCACACTTAATAAAGCAATTGACAAAGACACAGGTGATCTGTCTCAACAGGGATTTGTTGCCCGTTACCATCACACACCTTTCATTCCAGCACTTGGGAGGCAGAAGCAGGTCTGAGATAGAGGCCAGCCTGGGCTATGTTGTGAGTTCTAGGCCAGCTGGGGCTACAGAACAACCCTGTCTCAAAAAAAGGTGTTAGAGGTCAGTGAGATGCCTTAGTGGGTAAAGGGGCTTGCTGCTAAGCTTGATGAACTGAGTTCAATCCTTAGGACCCACATGGTGAACAAGAACCTATTCTTGCAAGTTGTCGACTTCGCACAGACATTCTCTGGTAAGGGTACACAGTAAATGTAATAAAAGGACTGGCAGGAGGGTTCAGTGTATGAAGCTGCCAAGCCCGAGTTCAATCCTCAGACCCACATGGTAAAGAGAACCAAGTCCCCCAAGTTGTCCTCTGACCTCCACACGTGATTTTTTTTTTTTGTCCTTTTGAGACAGGGTCTCCCTGTAGCCCCAGCTGTCCTGGAACTCACTATGTAGACCAGGCTGGCCTTGAACTCAGAGATCCGCCTGCCTCTGCCTCCCAAGTGCTGGGATTAAAGGTGTGTGCCACCACGCCTGGCTCATATGATTTTTTTTAATGTACTAAAATACAAAAAGTTTGAAACAGATCATTTGGTAATGTGTTTGCCACATAAGCATGTGGACCTGAGTTCAAATCCCCAGCGCCCACATAAAAAGCCAGGCACATTACTGAGTAATTGTAAACCCAGCACTGTAGAGGTGGGGGCAGGAAGATCCCTGGGGCTTCCTGGCCACATGGCTTTTGGCAGAGGACCTGGGTTTGGTTCCCAGCGCTCACATGGTGGCTAACTAACTCCAGATCAAGAGGATCTGATGCTCTCTGGCCTCTGAGGACGCTCTATGCACATGGTGCAGTAACATACACAGAACACTCACACACCAAAATAGAAGCAGAAACCCCGTACGGACATTGGACCTTCACACACCAGGAGAGCCGGTGTGCTCCTTTTATTTCTCCAGCACCCCAACCGCACCAGCTGGGGAGTGTGTGAGGCTGAGGCCTTTGAGCAGAAGGAGCCAGGCTCAGTATACCACCTCGTACACGGTGGCCTTCTTGTCCCCTGAGCCCGTGACAATGTATTTATTATTTCTGGAGATGTCACAGCTCAGAACTGAGGAAGATTCTTTCGACTGTCAAGAGAGGGGGGGAGGGGGGAGAGGTGAGGGGCAGCCCACAGGGTCACCCTGAGGGATTTCACAAGCAGGAAGGCGCTTGCAGGACAGAAGGAACGCTGAAGGACAGGTGTGTGGTCGGCCAGGGATGGAGGGTCACAGGTGACCTCCTGTCTCAAGGCTAGGGACTGGTAAGATGGCACAGTGAGTAAAGGGGCTTGCTGCTAAACCTAACGATGTGCATTTGATCCCCAGGACCCACTTCTGCAAACTATCCTCTGACGACTTCCATGTACATTCTGTGGGGCGTGTGCACATTCTGTGGGGCGTGTGCACAGTCCCACTAGTTCACTAGGGCCTGATTTCAGAGCTGGAGGACACCCAAGCATACTGTCATAGTCCCTTTTTTTCCTCTTTCCCTCTTTCCTTCCCTCCCACCTGCCCTCTATCCCCCTCCCCCTACAAGGGTCTCATTCTATAGACCAAGTTGGCCTCAAACTGACAATCCTCCTGCCTTGCCCTTCCAAGTGCTAGGATCACAGGTCTGTGCCACTATGTCCAGGGGTAGGCTCTTCTCAGAGCCGGGTGCAGTAATATATATCTTTTAATCCCAGCACTTAGGAGGTAGAGGCAGGAGGATCGGGTGTTGAAGGTGAGCCTGGGCTCCACAGTCAGATCCTTTCTCAAATTTCATGCTAGAGAAATGAAAATATGTCTGGAGGAAAACTAGATGTCTATGGCAGAAAGATTCATAGTAGCCAAAGGGAAGAACACACAGTATGGCCTAGCCACCTGCTGGAATATTACTCAGCCCTGAATAGGAGGGAGGCTCTGACACCACACCATGGAGGGACCTTTTGGAAATTGAGCTCAGTGAGACCCATAACAGAGGTCCACATGGTGTGGGACTCCATGGCAGGAAATGTTCAGAGCAGAAGCATCCAGAGACAGCTGTAGGCTGGGGACAGCAGGTACCTGGAAGATGCTGGCCCCGTACGGGGTTCTCCAGGCGTTCAGGAGGTTGTCCTTGCCGGTGCTCACGAACCAGCGTCCTGGGAGGGAAGGACAGTGGCATGAGGAAGGACAGATGGACAGTGAGGTGGGACCAGGGCCACCCAGGGCTGAGACAGCTTCATGGTTTCTTCCCAGGGGCCTCTGTCCATAAAGGCTGTGAAAGTCAGTGCACCTCATGTTTGCAGTGTCCAGACTGAGCCCTCCAGGAACGAGCTCATATCAAAGCCCAAACAGCTTCCTGTGACCCTCAGATAAGCCACAGGCAGGAAGGCCAAGGCAGGAGGATTGCTGGGAGTTTGAAGGCAGCCTGGGCTACACAGCAAGTTCCAGAGCAGCTGGGGCTACAGGTAGACCCTCTCTCAAAAAAACAACAACAAAAAAATGAAATAGTTGCCCAAGTATTTTAGTATTGGCAACTTGCACATAAAAACAAAAGCCTTTCATTTTTGTAAAAACAACTTCCTCAATTACGCTCCATCTTATTTTTTTAAAGTAATTTATTATGTCTGCATGTGTGTGGTGGTCAGAGGACAACTTGTGGGACACTGTTTTCTCCTTCCATCATGTGGGTCCCAGGAATTGAACTCAGGTTGCCAGGCTTGGCCTCAAGCCCCTTTTTACCCACTGAGCCATCTTGATGACCCTCTTTTTTTTTTTTTTTTTCGAGACACTACTACTATGTAGGACAGGCTGGCCTTGATCTCACAGAGATGAAACTGCCTCTGCCTCTGGAGTGTTGGGATTAAAGGCATGCTCCACCACACTGATATCACTGCCAGTTCTCACTGGATCCATCACCCGGACCGAGTGCTGACCAGACCCTCATCCCCCCTCCACCATCCCTGCTGGATGTGTCTCCGGGTTCCCACGGGGTTCCCACGGGGTCTCCGGGGCCTGTACCACAGGAGGCGAACTTGAGTGACAGCACACAACTCTCGTGCAGACGCAGCTGGTATTTCTCGGGTTTGCGGACGTGCAGGATTTCCACGTTGCTGCTCTCCATACCAACCGCCAGCCAGTCCTGGGTGGGACAGTGGCCCAGGGAGAAGATCTAGAACAAGATTTCAAGGCTGGGACTCCTGGACTCTTGGCGGTGTAGGAGTGAAGGGGGACCCTCCAACCTAGGCCTGGCGGCCCCACTCCCCACATCTCCCACAGGGGACGACGCACAGGCAGCTGGTGGAAGGGCCTGGAAGGTGGTGGGAGACTGCTGCTGCATCTTAATATGAAGCAGATTGCAAAGAGGGAGAGGGAGGGGGAGGGGAAAGAGAAGGAAGGAAAGGAGGGAGGGATGGATTGAGGGAGGTAGCACATGGTGGACCTCAGGGCTGCAACTTCAGAGCTCCAAGCTCTTGTTCTAATCTGTAGGGATTCATATTCATTCTCATTTGTTCGTTCTCTCTCTGTCTCTCTGTCTCTCTCTCTCTCTCTGTCTCTCTCATCTTTTTGAGGCAAGGTCTCCCAGTAGCACCGACTGGCCTGGAACTCACTATGTAGGCCAGGCTGGCTTCCATCTCACAGAGATCCACCTGCCTCTGCCTCCCCAGGGCTGGGATTATCCACCACCACACCCAGGTTTCCAGGTGTGTGCTGAGGATTCGAACTCAGGTCCCCATCTTATACATGAAGAACGCCTTCCTATTTGTGGTACCCAGAGGAAGAGGAAACAGGCCCGGGCAGAGGCACACAGATATCTGTGAGTTTGAGGCCAGTCTGAGCTACATAGTGAGTTCCAGGCCTGTCTTGGAGTATTAAGAGAAGGGAGGGCCCCAGGAAAGGACTGGCATTTGGGGAGGCTCCAGCCCCTTCCCTGGCACCTGGGAGGTAAAGTCATGTTGCTGGAGCTGGCGACCCTCCCTCAGGTCCCAGCAGCGCACGGTGTTGTCTAGACCGCCTGTCCACAGCCGGGTACCGTAGTCAGAGATGTCAATACAGCTGGCCCCATCCGTATGGCCCTGGAACTGTCTAGAGGAGGAAGGGTGGACGTCCATCTCTCTGCAGCCACCTCCCCCAGGGCCCTCCACCCCCACCAAAGCCTGCCCAGGTCCCCAGGCCCCGCACCCACCTCACCATGGCCTGGTTCTGCAAATCCCAAACAACGATGTTGCCGTCGCTGCAGCAGGAGAAACAGACCTTGGCGTCGGGGCTGACCGCCAGGGCGTAGCAGGCCGGGGCGGACGAGGTCAGCTCGCCCTTGATGCGGGGCGTGGGGGCTGCCAGGTCCCAGATGGACAGCGTGCTAGCCTCGCCACCCACGATCAGGCTCCGGCCGTCCGGAAGCAGCTTGCACGAGCGGATGTAGTTGTCCCGGTTCTGGGGGTCAGCAGAGAACCAGGGGGCCGTGCCGCCAGGAGGGCCGCCTAGACCCCAGCCTCCACCCATGCTGCAAGCCCCACCCTCCATGTAGGCCCTGCCCTAGCCTGCAAATACTCCCCAGTGTAGGCCACGCCCACCACCTGCAGGACCCCCCCAGGGTCACTTAAGCCCCGCCCACTGCCAACAAACACACCTACTGTAAACCTCACCAACTACGATACAGGCCCATCCCGCTGTCACTGTAAGCCACCTACTCTGCTAGACCCCACTGTTATATCCCGCCCACCACCCTTCAGGCCCCGCCCATTTCGGTAAGCCC